GACGACTGTTGTGTCAAAACGATGACGGCTGCCACGCAAGTCCCAGCCGCGAGGTTCGCCGATCGGCCCGCAGCCTGGCCCTCCGCCCTCCCCTCATCCTAGCTGGCTGTCCGAAGCCAATTGTGGAAATTCCACTTCTTGGGGGCGGGATCTACCCTGTGCGGATGCCGCAGCCTCAGCTGGGAGGTGCGCGCGGTTTTATCGACCGTCGAGGTCTGGCGACGGGTTGCGTCGACCCCGTTGCTGGTGTTTTTATCATTACGAACGTCAAGAATGCTGTGAATAACACCCACAGCGTGCGAGAGAGAACATTAATCTTGTGTTTATTGCGACGACATAGACAAACATGACTTGAACGTGTTCACGTAATGATGATGAGGCGATGACACGGTCATGAAAGATGTCTTTCCAAAAAAAAACGAGCATTATAAAATGTCCTTATTTTTTCGATCAATTTCCCATGAAAAGCAAATGTACATTGTAAAAACTTTCCGGCTTAAATCCATTGCTTGACTCGGAATAACAAATCAGCAAGGTTGCACAAATAGGATGCCATTGAGTATCAATACGTTTGACAATTGGGACATCCTACGAAGTGGTTATCAAAGTCTGTGGCCTGACATAGCAACGAGTGACCTTGATATAGAGACAACAAAAACAACAATTTAAATTAACCTTGCATCTAAAGGCAATTGCATTTCAAGACGCTTTGCAGAAAAATGGTAAAAACAAATTAAAAAGCAGCGACATGAGGGTAGAAGGCGGGCAGGAGTGGGGGGTTCAGGGCAGAGAGATGAGAGACACCGCAGCATAGCAGCGTGGGATGGAGAAAGCGAGGCCCAGCAACCAATAACAACGAGCCCCGGGGACAGCCGGGCCAGCCAGGGCAGCACCGGTGAGACCCAGGAGGCATCCGCAGAGGGGCCCGAAGCTCTTCACCAAACGAGTCCCAGGGCATCCCTGGACAGACTGGTAGAGACATAGCAAGTGTCTCTTTACATGGGTCCCTTTACAAGCCATTCACTTGCATTTGGTGTTCCAGAGATTTATTCGAGGCACCTCATCGTCTCGCTCCTCCTCGCACTGTTTGTTCACAGCAACGTGTCACTGCTTTCTCACCGGGAAATACATTTTCCTCCCCGAACGATAATTTCACTCGGGATTTAAGAAATCACCAAGATGTTACATTGTGTGTTAAAAAGTTCTCAGGGACCAACAGCTCCAAAGAGCTGAACATGCCTCGTTTAGAGCACAGACTCACAGGGTTGAGAAAACGTGGCGCTCCCAGCAACAAGCAACAGTGAAACAAAGACGCAGCTGTTGACCAGTTTCATCCTTATTAGGACTCAACAGTACAGTCAACGATGTAGGCATCAATGTTCAGAAGCGTGATTAATGACCAATGATGACGGTATTGGCGAGTCCAAACGAGGATGAAACTGGTCTACACTTGTGTCTTTATTTCACTGCTGCCTGGTGGGGTGGCCACATGTTCTTAGCCCTGTGAAACGGTGGCCTAAACAACAACATGGCGATACAATTAGTTATTTTGAATGAATGGTTTGGACAAGGCTGAGTGCTGTAGTACACGCAATGCTGGACATCTCTGTGTGGTGTTAAGTCGTTTTGCGGTCTGCACTAATGTTTCCGTTGTGATGGGTTTTCTCACCACTTTTATTCTTTCTCTGCGGAAGTCAACGGAAGCCAGGTTTGGTGACTGAATTTCATTAAAATATCAGATTCCCGCCCCAAACTATTGTGACGATTTCTTTAGATTATTCATATTTTTTCCTCTAAATTTTTCATTAACTAACAGACATGCATATAAAAACACACACAAGTTCACCTTAAAATTCATCTTTGTTGCAGCATCACTCCTGTTCATCTGATGGCCTAGTCTGGGAGACGTGACACGGGTTCAACAGTAGCACGTTGATGTCTCTTGTTGCAGAGGTTAGCGGGTCGAAATCGCAGTGTTAACCAGGGTGTATAACCCGCACACTGCGGGTGTACAACTCGTACAAATACACGCTGTTCACTTCACAATAGACGTAAAAAAATCGAGTCATGTATTTCTCAAAGAAGCAGGCCATCGTTGTGCCGGTGTCATGGTCCAAGTTTGAAACGTTACTCGCAAATAACTTAACTGGGAAACACACAGCAATCGTCGGCAACCCCTAATGCGATAACTTTGGCAGGACCCTCCTGCCAAGAGAGTCTTGAGACTCAGTGAGGAGGAGCAATCATAATTATAAAACGATTCACAGCTCACATGAGCACTGATTGCATTGTGTTAAAACGAATAAGGTGCCGCACCCTTGCCGCTCGTTGCTCTCTGTCTGACACGACGATGACAGCTGACCCAGGGCGGTCAGGATCGAGTGGATACAAACACGGCACAGGCCTCATCTAACACACACGTGAGGGACCGCGCTGATGAAGGCCACTGTGGACATGTGGGCGTGCTGACGATTGCTGGGCTGTGCGACCATGCCAGTCACGCACGCGACAGACAATTCAGTTCCTTAAAACTCGTGCTCACGCTCACGATACATCACATCAAATCGTTTGGAGAAGAATCGATTGTGACATGGTTGGATGAATCAGAGGCCAGAGTGTTGAGCCGGCACTGCCGAGACTTAGAACCCAGGCTGTCTGTTATGCTATTTTTTTTTATTTGACCAGGTAAGGCCCACTGAGCTATGTAGCTCTTTTTCCGCAGTGACCCGGCTATCACAAATGATAACTCAACAAAGTGGCTCATGATGTGGAAATGTATATCAGCCAAATACTCTAAACACATGTTGATTCTAAATGTGTGGGTGAAACCGGAGAACTTGGAGAAAAATCCACATGACCACAGGGAGAACATGCAAACTCCAAATATGCAGTGGTCTGGATCGGGATCGGACCCACGACCTCCTGCATACCAGGCAAGGTAGGTAACAGCTTGCCACTATGTCACCTCATCTGTGATTAAAACACATTTTTCAATAACAGGGTGTTCATGGTCTCCGCCGTGTCACCAATGACTGCACACACAAAAAATACACTGCTTCTGGTGCCTCACTGGCTCAGTTCCAGCTGTGGTAATTAAAGATATCGATCTGACGATCATGTGAAGAACATTTTTTTTCTTTCTGTTGGCAGAGCAAGTGAGAAAGCACTGCCCCCTAGTGTGGATAAGCGGTCCCTTAAATAGATTTCAGTGGTTCTAGGATATCTGCTTCTGATGACCATTCTTTAACTCTGTAAGAAATTAGGATATATTGCCTCGTCACATGATGCCGATAGCACTATGAGGATAACATTGGAGAGAGCATAACGGCATTTTAGAAATCAATAAATGGTATTTACAATGTGTGTTAACTACAATAATAATGCTCTTTATTTAGCCACGAAAGCCCCATTGACTTTTAATCTTTATTTTATTTTACCAAGTTAAGCCCACTGAGCTCTATAGCTCTTTTTCAGAAGCGACCTGGCTATTTAGAAATGATAGCCCAACGAAGTGACTTATCACATGGAAATTTGTAGCAGCCAAATACTTGAAGCGCATGCTTCTAAATTTGGAAGGAAACACCAGAGGACCCGGAGACAAATCCACGCGGCCACGGGGAGATCATGCAAACTCCAAATATACAAGCGTCAGGGTCGGGATCGATCTCACGACCTCCTGTATACCTGGCAGGGTAATTAACATCTCGTCACCGTGGCAATGCCAGGAGGGCCCTGCATTGAAATGTTTGTCCAATTCCAGTAATGACTGTCTGGCATGTGGGAGTAAAGTGACGTTACACAGAGAAAACCCACAACAAACATAGGAGATAACAACCAAAGTTGCACACAGCTATATTTAACAACGTATTCAAGAATCCACAGTGGTACTGCCAACTCCTAGCCACCTAGCAGTCAATTATACCATGAGGCTAATGGATAAACACAACCTATTAAGTCAATAACCCTGTGTGGCCTTAAAATGGAAAAATATAATATAGGCGACATTTTGGGCAGCGATCCTTCATCGCAGCACGTAGAGAGGTCAGCAGAGAGATAGAGTGGACAATGAGGGTTGGAGACGGCATTGTACACCATGGGGCCAGACACGAGTTAAATATATAAATAACTGTCATGTGAAGAGTTATCTATTAGTAGCTGTTGAGTAACATGCAAAGCTCGTAATCACCAAGAAGCATTACTTTAGCCTCATGGAACAAATTATACAAATGCAGGGCAGACAATACAAAATTAGACAATACAAAGAAGACAATTCAGAATGTATTATTAAATCTATTCATGACCCTGCATAACGAATATTCATTCTCCATTGGAGGTGGTGACTTGTTCACACACCAGCTACCATGCTGAGTGTCATGTTTTGGTCGTGGGCTCTCCACGGCAGTAGTTAGCGTGCTGTGCTCGGAAACCCGGTGACCCGAGTTCGATTCCTACTCACTACCAACAACTGGTGAATATTTGAACCGGTTTCAGGCCTCCCCTAGGTCGATTCAGCCTCAAATTAGTACCTGGTGCAGTGTGTAAACATCAGCATTTGGGAGACAAAGGCGGTTGGGCATGGTGCTGGCCACCCACCCCCTGTGTTGCGTCGGCCTTCACAGGTGCTTACTAACAGCACTTGCCCCAAAAGTCTATTGAAGGTTATAAAGGAGACCTTTGTCTTTGGGCTCTCCAGCACCGAGCCATCGATCAGTCACGCGGCGGCTGTCGTACCTCTTTGAGGCCTTCGTAGCGAGGGGAACGCTCGCCAACCGATCGGCCGCCCCATCCTCCTCTCTCCTCCTCAGGGCTGCACTCTGCCCGCCCGCCCCCCCCCTCCCGACTCCTTCTCACTCCCCACTCCGCCCTCCTCCATCACCCGCCCTCCACCGACCATCGCTCTTCTTCTGCCCACATCGTTCCATCGCCGCGGCCGTCCCTTGTCACCAGCCGCAACGCCTCCCCAAACTCACGCTTCCCACCCTCCCTCCCTCCGCCTCCCCCTCCGCCTCAGTAGAGCAGCTGCTGCATGCGCTTGAGCTTGCGCTTGTTGGTGGGCAGCGGCTTCTCGTAGAGGCCGCTGCGGAGGAGGTGCTCCTTGCTGTGGTGCACGCGGGCGCCGTGCTCCAGCTGGAACGAGCAGAGGCCCCGCAGCGGTCGTAGCAACGTCTGCACGCAAGCCCACGGGAAGCGGTTCAGGATAAGGGTTTGCACGTATGGCGAGTTGCACCGATGGGAACTTCAACGTCTACTGTGAAGCAGATGGGATTGGTACAGGTGGGGCGTAGGGAAGGGTTGGAAAGCTATGAGCCACGATATCATTTGATAAGGTCCCATGGCCACATGATCGTTATGAGGCCACAATGGTCACTTACTCTCCAGAAGAGGGAACGACCCAGAGGAGCAAGGAGGAACCACAGACGAAGGGGAAAGGCAGCTAATTAGTGATCCAGAGCCAAATCCCTACGCAAGCTCTGCTGTTCTCTATATATTAAGGTCTCACTGTCCAATGAATGAGCTTTCATACGTTGGAGGAAAACGAAGCACCCAGAAGAAAACCCACGTGTGCAAGTGGACAACGCTGTATCCCACACAGACGGAACAGGCGCAGTTCACATTCTTCTGTACCACTTTCTCGTGGCGAGCCAGGACACGGCACCTCCTCGATGCTCAAGAGAAGCGAATTTCACGACATCTGCGCGTGATCCAGCAAAACTCGCTGCCTCCACGGTGCTGGATTACGGGCCACGTGCGGAAACCCCCGCCGCCGGGCTGCATCTTAGGAAGCATCGTAGTCGCACTAATCGGGCACCCGAGGGAAATATTTTTGACCTGGCAAAACTGTTTCAAATTTTAGCAGGATTCCACAAGTGCACACTGCAGGACCACAAGGTGAGCAATCGTGATGCATTTATTTATTTATTAGATAACACTAAGTTTATACTTTATTATTCTATTTTTTGCATTAACAGGGGGAGAAAATACAGGCTCTATAAAAGGGGCCCAAGGCGGGTATCGAACCCAAGCCCTCTGCTGCTGTCAGACACAAGTGTTACCACTGCGTCACTCCATTTACAGTTGGGATTTTCGAGTTTTATCTGACCCTAAGACCACAGAAGGTGGCCGGACTAAAATCCTAAATGATAAAGAAGACGTAATTGCCAACACGATAGCGCGGGAGAAAAGGCCACAACGGGCCTTCGGAGTCGGCCTTCCCGAGTGAACGTGCGCCAACGTGGAATGAAGCTGCAAAGTCTCCGAGTCTACACGCGGGAAGCAGAAGCCGCTCCGTCACGTGCGGCTGTAGGCGGATGTTGGGGGGGGGGGGAGGGTTGGGGGGCGGGAAGGGCTCCGTGGAGTGCGCCGCTCGCGTTCGCTCCGCCGCGGGTCCTCGTCAAAGGGAGGTTTGATGTAGATTTGGCGGCGTGGCGGACAAACGTTTAAATGGTTAATGTCCCAGTTAAGCTCGGTTGCTCGCGTCCCTCCGCAGTCTAACAAACGGACGGCCGAGACGAGCGACAAACACGGGTCACAAATCGAACACGAGTTTAAATTGGGTGTGGGCGGTTTGCAAGGCATGTCGACAGGTAGGTGTGCGCACACTGCTCTCTGTGCGTGTCATGCGGAGGGGTGATTTGACCGTACTTCATGCTGGCTCAGCGCGTGTTGGTGATGGAGGGGGAGCAGACGCGGGGAGCGTAGAAGTACAGTACGAAAATGTATTCTACCGCACTGACTTGTCCACCACATAGCCCTGCAGCTTATAACATGTAAGAAAACTTAAGCTAAATAAACAGAAAAGTTTAATCATAATCAACGTTTTTGGGTTTAGATCGCGTTTATTTATAAATGTGTCATAACCCTCCACCACCCGACACGGCCAATCAGTAAAAAAGTGTCACGTTGACAAAGACAAATAGTTCACTGCTTTAGCCCACCGGTGTGTTGAAGCCACAACATTTACAATTTGAGTACGACGTTTCGCTGGTAAAAGTTTAACAATGGATATTCAAAATACCCACAGTGATACGAAGTTCAAAATCCTTTATTTTCAAAGACTATGAAGAGCACTTATATTCATAATGTCTAAGGCATAGCTTATGGAAGCTGAGCCGAGACATGTTTTTAATGTGTTACACACTATACATGAAGTGGATTTGAATTACATTTTTGGACATGATACGGGAATGTTGAAGCGTTCCAAATTACACGGTTTTGTCTGCAGTGTGGGGAATGTTCACCCAGCAACTGTAGGGAAGTTTTTTCGTTTTTTATGAGGGCCTTGGAAAAAAATGTCGTGACCAGCGTAAAGTTTAATCTTTTAACAAAACGGGGAGGCGGGGAGCGGGAGTAACTGACTAGAAATAGGGATCGCAATGGTGGCACGGAATCATCTCTTGTCAAGAATTAAGTGTTAGGGTGAACGTAAAACCCATGTCTGAAGAGTTTTAGAGCTGTGGTTCGTATTGATTGACACTGCACATCAGCATAATAAGAATAATTAGCACAGTTGGCTACATCCGGTGCGTAATAAGTTCAACGTACATATTCAATGGTGGGAAGCAGAAGAGAAACACCGTAGTTTAATAAAAGCTTGGGTGGATAAAGAGAGCCCAGCTTTGTTATTGCCACTCGCCGTGTCTCCTCCTGCTCCTCCCTGGCGTGGGGTTATCATCACTAGGAGAAGAACACTCACAGAGGCTGGCGATGGAACCGCGTCACACGTGTCGACGGAGCTGTCACACGGCGGGGCCCTCGCCGCCGTGGAGCGTTTGCCGCTCGTTGCAGAGGTTCACGGTTCGAATCGAGCGGCCGCTCCTGATTAATAATGCGGTGTAACATCTGTAATTATTCTAAACACATTTTTATTTTTTACTTTACCAGGTAAGGCCCACTGAGCAATATAGGTCTTTTTCAGAAGTGGCCTGGCTACAAATGATTGCTCAACGAAGTGGCTCATCATGTGGAAATTTATAGCAGCCAAATACTCTAAACGCATGTTGATTCTAAATGTGGAGGGAAACAATGGAGGAACCGGAGAAAAATCCACACGACCACGGGGAGAACATGCAAACTTCAAATATACAGGCGTCAGGGTCAGGATCGAACCCACGACCTCCTGTACGCCAGGCGAGATAGTTAACATCTCGCTACCGCAGTGCCCCAGTTATGGTCCTTACGCACCGTCTACTTCACAGCGGACATTAAAAGATTCCCTGACATCATTCAAAAAGAGAGGGCCATTGTGTGCCGATGTCGGGATGAACATTTTACCAATTATAAAATTGCACTGCTAATAACCAAATTGGAGATATAAAAAAGCAACGCTCGCCCATTATTGTCAGATTAATGCCCCAGGTTATGCTTGCAGATGAGACCAATCTGATCTCTTGAGTTCTCATTAAACTATATAAACTTGAACTTTTGTTCCATTGTTACAAGGTCCTTCAACTATATTATGCAGCTGGCCACACAATAGAGCGAGTGTGTGTTGGCGGGCCATGTGACGTCTTTAGTCATGCGTACAGATGTTACAAGGTCACGTGACGGCGTGACGTCACAATGCCTGTACATGAGACCTCGTGTCTGTGGGTCTCTCATCTCTATTTGTCGTTAAACAAAAAAATAAATTAGCACACATATCTGTTCCTCCACATAAAAGAGAGAGTATTCTTTTAGACACATCTCATCAGCCAAGGGGCCTTGTGGGAGTGCGTAATTTGTGCAGTTATGGTACAACAAAGGCACACTCAGGACAGGTGCGACAATTAGTATCTCATCACTCGATGCCAATCAGCAGTTGTGTTGAACCAATGCTGCTTACATTATGCACTCCCAGAAGGCCGTGTTTTATGTGGAAGGAAAAATGTGAAGGAGGTAAACTGTCCCTTTATTTATTTTGTTACTTATATTCAGGATTTCATCTCAATAATCTGTATCTCTTTATGTCCCTGCGAGGCACATCTATTGAAGAACCCTGCTATAGAAAAACACCAAGTTAACTTCCAAATCGAAGGAGGTGGAACAGCACAGCACAAATAAGGTGGAATGAACAAACGGGACATGACAAAGTAAAGAGTCAATGCTTGTATAGAATCGTGAACCAGAATCGTGACAATTTAGAAAATCGCACGGGGAACAAACCACCACAAGTCGAATGGGCGCCATGGTGGCAAGATGTTAACCACCTCGCCTGGTATGCAGCAGGTCGTGGGTTCGATCCCGATCATAACACCTGTATATTTGGAGTTGGCACGTTCTCCCTGTAGTCGTGTGGATTTTTCTCCGAGGCCTCCGGTTCGTCCCTCCACATTTAGAATCAACATGAATTTAGAGTATTTGGCTGCTATGAATTTTGACGCAATAAGCCACTTCGTTGACCTATCATTTGTAGCCAGGTCGCTTCTGAAAAAGAGCTATAAAGCTCAGTGGGCCTTAACTGGTAAAATATTTTTTTTTTCATAGTTTAGTTTATAGAGTGCTTTGGGTGGTGGTGCGGGAGGGAGGGGCTGTCGAAGAGTGAGCAGGGGGGGGGGGCTTTAGAGAGAAGCCAGGGGGGTCATTAAGATGATCAAGAGAGACCTTCTGGGTGAAGCGAAGGAAGCCCTTTGGCTGAGCCAGGGGAAGCCTTTGTACTGAGCAGGGGGCCCTCGGGGCTCTTAGGTTGGGGGGGGGGGGCACAGTGAGGACTGTCTGAGGTCCAAACCAGGTTCAATTAAACAACCAAAAACAGGCAAAGGAAAGAGGAAGTGAAACGACTGCACCAGATTGAGCTCCCCCCCCTGACTTGCACTAATAAGGGATCAGTCACTTAGCCTGTTAGCGAATGCCTATTAAGACCGGCACACGGCACACCTGCGTGACGGTCGTGTCACAAGCAAGACATCTATCTGGCTACCTCTGTCTCCCCACTGCCAGTATTTACAAACACAGGCACTCGTTTAAAAGGCTGAGTGAACCTAAGAGTGCCCAGACTAGGTACAGATTCCATTTGTCATGGCTAGGAATCGAATCCAGGTCACTGAGAATCTTGAACCGCTATGCCACCGCTCACTACACATTGGACTAATACAAAGACTCCTCGCATAGCCTCAAAAGACGGTTAGGGCAAGCGCTGTTATCGTGCACCTATGAAGGCTGGAACGGCACATGAAAGGGTGGGTGGTCAGCAGCACGCCCGGCCGCTTTTGTCTCCCCTGCGACTCATTTTTACACATCACAATAGGAACTAATTTATGGCTAAGTCGATCTAGGAGAAGCCCAGGACTCATACTCAAGTCACTAAGTTCACAGCGCAGCACACTAACATATGCATACAAACAAAGATAAATATCCCCAGTGTTGCCTTAGCAGACTTTTGGGGCAAGTGCTGCTTGCCAGCACCTGTGAAGGCCGGAAAGGCACACGAGGAGGTGGTTGGCCAGTACCATGCCCGGCCACTTTTATCTCCCCAGTGGCGATGTTTATACACCACACCAGGTACACATTCAGGCTGAGTCGACCTAACGTAAGCATATAACAACAACAACCGCCATTCGCCACTAAGTGGCGGTGACGTCACCACGATGCTTGTGCCAGGCCAAGTGCACCTTGAGGCCACACACAGGAACACACAAGCTGAAGGATCTACTTAATAGGCGTGGTGCTTGCCTGCTCGTTATCCAGCCCGTGTTACGGATTTGGTGTTGCCTCTCCTGTCACGTTTTCAAATAATACCATTCGTTCCTGCAGCGCGCACTTCGACATAAAGGTAATTCGGTCCGGCTTCACGCCACGGTCCAGAACTTTTCAATTTCGGTCTGTTTTGCTTGTTTTGTTTGGCGTCCACTCGACGTTAATTGAGCGCCCGTGTCGGGAGGCGAAAAAGGAGGGCGTTGCTGAATTCCATAGCGGGAGCGGAACGGGCCGTCGTCACGGGCGCCAACGCCGTCCCATTAGGGCAATTAGCGGGATCAATGGCTGATGACCGTAACAAACGGTGGGTGCCAAGCCAGCATCCGAGCAGCTCCATTTTGCCAGCATTGATGTTTCTGGCCCGCGCAATTTTTCCTCCCACGAATGATTAATTAGCTAAAAAACATTTTTTGGGGGGGATCAATAAGACGAGCGGGAGGGGGTGGTGTAGGACCCACTCCTGCTGCGCAAGGCCAGTATAGGGCCGCGGTTCGACGAATTGATAAGTTGACTTATGCAATGGCTAAGCGGGTGGGTGGTGTAGCAAATGTTATGCCCAAGACTGGGCAGGGAAAGTGGCTTGGCAGCTCCACGCTTCGCCACTCATTCACTCACTCGCCAGTTAACCAACTCTGAACTAGTTAACATGCGGCGTGTCTTATATACTCAACTCACTGGCTTAATGGGTAAGTGAAAGGAGAAGCTGTGTAGTTTACACTGGAAGAAGGCCTGTTGGGTTGAAGGTTCAAACTTGATTTCCTTCAAGAGATTAAATAAAATACCTCAAGATTGCCTTTTGTGTGTGTGTGTGTTGGAATTGCTTTGCCTTGGGGGGACTGGCCCCGGGGGTAGCTGTCTCAGGGACCGGAATTACAAACCTGCTGGGTCACGTGTTGTGGTTTTGCGAGTCAGGGGGTAATAAGTCGAGGTCGACGGTCGAAGCCACGCACCTCGTGGATGCTGGGGTCACGCTCGAGGGCGGCGAGGGCGAAGGCGGCACACTCCAGCGTCGAGAGGCACGAACCGCGGGGCTGGGAGCGGATCACGTACTGGCTGTCCCTGCTCTCCCGCAACTCCACCTGCCACGGCAGCAACGCGTCACCACCAAGTCACCATTACCGATGCGCCATGACTATTGACACCAAATATCCCCCCTGCTCCCCCCACCTACAGCCCTAATAGACTGTTGGGGCAAGTGCTGTCAGCAAGCAGCGCCTATGAAAGCCGACACGGCACATGAGGGGGTGGGGGGTGGCCAGCACCACGCCCGGCCACGTTTGTCTCCCCAGTGGCAATGTTTACACACTGCACCAGGTACTCATGAGGCTGAGTCGATCTTGGGAAGTCCTTTGACTGGTTCAGACAATCGTCACTGGTGTTGGCCGTGAGCGGGAATCAAACTCGTGTCGCCGGGTTCGTAGCGCAGCGTGCTAACCACAATGCTACCGCTACACACCTATCAACACCACCACTGTCACCATCACCACTGATATATAATCTTTAACAGTCACCATTACACATTCCACAAGGAGTGACTAATCCCATATCTGCATTTTCCATCAATATGCTTCATTCCGCTGTTGATATGTAAACTCCTCTGTCAAGGCGCTCTCCTCCCCCGACCCAGCTTAAATATATACTGCCAAGCTTGGCGGTGTTCATTGGAACGCTGTCTTTCCGACAGCTGTTTCTTTTTTATTTTATTATGTTTTATTTTAATCATTTTATCATTTCCCTTCTACGTGACTTTACCGAAAAAACCAAGAAGATGAATCCCTGCAGTCACGAAAGCTTTAAATTGAAATTTAGTCACCATTACTCCATTATCACCACCACCATCAAAACTATGGTCACTATCACCACTGTAATACAATCACCACGAGTCACCATCAATGACCGACCATCACTGTCAATACCACTTTGATCACAACCATTAACACAGCGACACAATCGCCACCACGTCCACTGCCAACCAATGACTGACACTACCAACACCCTCACCACCACAGCAATATGATGACCAGTGGTCACCATAACCAATACACTGTCACCAGTACCAACACTGTCAAAGCCACCACCATTTATTCTCTAACAGTTCCCCAGAAAATGTCATCCACTTCCCCAGATTTTATTGAGAAAATACTGCACTATTTCCTCTCTCTCTTCGTTTTTTTCACTGTTTGTTTTTGAAGGAGGAATAAAAATAAATATAAGCAGCTGCAAATGTCATCATTTGCAGACGACTTGGAGAGAAGTGAGTGACACCTCTTTATATCGATATTTCATGCTCGTGACAGTTCCGATGTATTATAGATAACCACCCAGATCAACAAATAAAACAAAGACCCTCCCCATAGCCCTTAACACTGTTGGGGCAAGGGCTGTTAGTAAGCATCTTATTAAGCAGCAGCGGCAGCAGGGCACCCCAGGCGTGGTATGACCAGCAACACACCCGCCACTTTTTTTTTAAATCCCCAGTGCTGATGTTTACACAGTACCACGGGTATTCATTTAAGGCTGAGTTGACCTTGGGGAGGCCCAAGACAATGTAGGTCAGGGACTTCCATGGAGAATATTGCGTGATGTGTGAATCGCAATATTCATTGTAATGTGTCTCACTTTTGTAATAAATTCTCCTACCAATCCTCATATTGCCCATTGCTATCATGATACTCATCAGGATGGTGCTGCGTTGGTAACAGTGAGAAGGAGTTCAATTCCTGATTCTGGAACCTTTCTGTGTGGAGGTGTACGTTCTCTCCCCCTGTTCTGTGTGGGTTTCATGTAAGCTCTCCAGTGTCCTCCCAAAGATAATACATAAAATGCAAATGATGCTGGCGAAACATCCCAATGCAACAGGATCCTCCAGAAAAAAGTGTGTTCAGACTCAAGTGTGGTTTTCCTGGACAAAGTCGTTTCAATTATTATTATTAATCACACAGACACTAGCAGTCTTCTATCGCTTTCTCTACCAGCCAGTGCTTGAGCTTCATATGTTAGCAGTTGCACATCTAGCGCAATCAAATGGGGCCCGTCCACTCGTGCACATCGCCAGCGGCGCAGCGTCGTAAGTAAGGGCCCTAGTGCAGGCAACACACGGGATGGACCTGTCCGACTTCCGCTCTTTTCGGCAGCCCGTCGCCTGGATCCCTCCAGAACGTAGGCCCCAGTGCAGTTGCAGCGCCTGCACACTTGTGACGGCTAAGCCGCTGGACATTGCTGAGCGCGCTTCCCAACCGCGCCCGCCGCACTGTCACACATCTATCTTCCTATTTTACCTTTCATGCCGTCTCGAGGCGTGCTGTTTGACAGATTTGCACTCCCTCGCTTATATATTTATTTCCCCCCCCCAGAAGGCGTTTGTTTGATGGATCCCACATCCTCGTTGTTTGTGTTTTCGTAACCTTGTATTCAACGAAAACATTTAATAACGTATTTCTTAGAAAAGCAAGATAAACACGGCATAGGATGTAACAATCATAATTTCTGTCTAGCCCCATTGATGGTTACAAGACTTGTGGCTTACTCTTCTAAGGGCATGCTCTTCACAACAACAATCACGTTCGGTTTATTTATTTATATATTACCTCTTAGAGTTTTTGTTCTCTTTTTGCACGTTTGCCTTTTACTGGAAATTCAATAACTTAGTCTGCCTTTAATAGAAACTCCCCCGCCTGTTCTGTGGGAGATGCCAGCTTCTCCCACCCAGCACGCCCCAGGGGGTCAGAGAGCCACCATCTCCTGGGCCAGGTAGTGTGTAACGCTTCTCCACATTACTTGGGCACTTCGAAGGGGGGAGGGGGGGAGGGGGTTCACATTCGTGTCTAATCATGTCCAGCATGTGTTGAACAAGTGAGAGTTCTGGCCAAGATGGGTCCGGCGGCTCGGTAAACCGCGGAGGGCTTCGCTCCCTTCTCCTTGTCTGTTGCCTCCTCTTGCGTTGAAACTGGAGGGACTGCCTCCATTTCAGCCACCACCACTCTGCGTCTAATTCTTCTGACATCTCCCCAGAGGAAATACCTACACAGCCAATTCACCGCCCTCGTCACAACTATCTGCTGCTCATGAGAAGCATCCCCCCCTCCCCGCCCCTCTGGGTGTACTTGGTGCATTTATGGCAGGGCTAAGTTCCTCCGCCGAGTGCTACCCTCCTCCCTCAGCCTGTTTATTCCTCGCAGGAGTTTCCCTTTTCTCAGTTCCTGGGCCCTGTTTACCCACTGGTGGAGGGCTGGGCACTGTCCTGAAGCGTCTCGGCTGTCTGCAGCCTATCCCTGGCCCCATCACAATGAAGCTCAAATTCTTCATTGCCCAGAGGTGGGAAATGAAAAATTACCAGATCTTGGTGATGAAAAAAAATGTCTTAAAAGAAATTGTCCCTCTGAGGACTACTTCAGCAGCTTAATTACATGCGGTGATTGTCGCCTTAATTACTATGAACGTCCTTATTGAACTATTTTGGGCATTATAGCATTTAAAAACAATTTGAGTGCAGAAGCACTCAAAAACACCGGGAGCCTAGCCCAGAAAACGAAAACACTAAATAGAAATGGAAGAGCAGGAGGGGTCAAGTGCGTGATGTGCAACCGCCGTATTATCAGCATGGCCAGGACCCTCCTAAAACAGAGTCTCAGGACTCAGTGTGGCTTTGCGAGGTGAACGATTGGAATAATAAAAGGCTGATGGAAATGGCAGCATTTGCAGAAGACCTGCACAAGTGAGTGACACCATTTCATATGCATTTTTCATCCAAGTGACAGTTTCTATTTATTATAAATAACCTATTTATATAAATGTACATATAAATTGCGTGTCTTTCTTAACCCAGTCCATGATGCCTCCTAGCGCATCGTGGCACAATGCAATATCCCCAGTAATTATTCTTTATTATAATGATTACATTTGTTTATCCAGAAAAAATATCTCAATGCTACGTTTTTGCAGTAGGGGTGGGGGGGGGGGCGATATTGCTACGAGTAGTTTCAAGGTAAATTGTCAGCACAGGGATATTTGGCCAGGACCAGTCACACATTGCATGCTTTGTTTTAGCTATGGGAGGAAACCAGAGAGCCCAGAAGAAAGCCATGCACAACACGGGGGGAGCATACAAACGCAGATAGGCACCCGGGTCACGAATCTAAAACACATTCCTGCGGAGGGAGCTGGTAGGAACGTTGGCTTGCTCGGTCAATGGCCAGGGTCAATGGAGGCGTAGTGTATTCCGCAAATATGTCCGACTGTGAAGGCGGCTACAAGCCGGCATTAGTAGGTTAAACGTTGAGTTTTATAAGGGCACCACGGGGTGACCAGCCCTCCCCCACCCAGCCCCACCCCTCCCACCCCCTCCCCACCCAGCCCCACCCCTCCCATTTTTGGATGCACGACGGACGGATGGACACAATAATCCCCTGTGGGCTAGTGTAACCAGGAGGTTCCTACCAGTATCAGGCGCTCCTGACTGTGACGCACGAGTGTTACCACGGCACATGCCACCTTGCCACCCAGTAATGTTATCAAGGATGGGTCAATTCATTATTTGCATGCTCTGCCCCAAAATGTGGCTTCAGGCTGCTAGACCACTGCTAATGGTGTAACGGGACCTTAAATGTGCACGTAAATTACTCGAGCGTGAACTTAATTGACAACATCCTCGCAGCACCATTATCGGAAACGCCGAGAATGGATGGATGGATGCCGAGCGTATTTATATGTAAAACGATAAGAAAAAAAATAAAATAAGTAAAACAGCGGCGGTTGTGAAGGGATTGGAAAACCATTGCCGCGGTGCGGACAGCCATCAGAATAAATTTCTGTTAGATAGAGAATGCCGTCGTCCGGCCACGGATGTAATGGAACGGCTGGAGAATATCGAGCAGAATTAAGGAGCTCCCTTTGAGCGGCGGCAGGCTGCTGGGATGGGCCGAATTTACCGGCGCGTCTCGTCGGTGACTCTTAAGCATCCTAGCGAATTTAAAGAGACGCGGATGCCGATCGGCTGTCGCGGAAGGAGCTGACAAGCCATGCTTTTGGGCACGATAGCCCCCCCCCCCACCTTTCCCCTCGCACCTCCCCTTGTCACGGT